CCTTAACAAGTCCTATCTAACTGGAACTTCCTTTACCTCTTAATTGGAGGGTTCAGTGGCCCTCAACTCTTCTGTACCCTCTTTCTTGAGAATATCGAACGCATTCTCGCTGGCGATATTTATCTCAGGTAAAAATCTGCCTGAGTGTTATTTTCAGAGCAGCTCCCGCAACCCTGGGGGCACTAGATAAAATCTGGACACCAGGTTTAAGAAGGAGCTAGAGAAACAAAGGAAGAATTTTCAAAGCTTCAAAGAATTTTGACACGGACTTGACCCAGCTTACCCCTCCAAACTAACAGGGTGACATGGGCAATTTTTACAAACAAATAATTAAACTTAGATGTATCAGTGCTCTGTCGTGTCGTAAAATTGGCTGTTTTTGGGAGCCATGCATCCACATGTAAGGTGAATGAAACCGTATGTTAGTTCAACTCAGAGTTGAATCCAGGATTATTCGAAGGGGGGTCCACATATGCGAAGCTAGCCTCCTTTTAAATAAATATACCGTTCTGGGTAATAAGAATATTGAAACTTTTTTAATTGCGAGAATATTTCTGACTAAATGATGATTTTCTTATTAATGGAAATTAAGCTGCGATGTGTGGTACATATGCTGCAATTGCGCTGTCCTTCATCTCTTGCGTAAGGCTACATTTTGCTGGGAATTTTAAAAATCTGTGCGTACAATTTTTAAAGGTCTGGTTACGCCCCTGTCTAGCATTATTTGATTATGTGTTCGAATATTCTAATGACAAAAGGCAGACATCTTGAATTTTTTCAGAATACCCAAAGATACACACATGCTACAGACCAGGTATACATCATAGGAGTAATAATAAATGGAATGAAAAACATAAATTATTTTTAAAACAAACCCATGGAAATGTAAATGTATAATGAACCATATGCCTCTCTAGCAGCAATTGAAACCCACCCATTAGTATTCCTATGTTAAATTGTAGGTATCTTTTTCTCAGAATATCCAAGGATGCACACTATTTACCCACCAGATATATATCATAAGACTAATAAGGATCGGCAAAACTTGATAAGCAAACACAAATTCACCCTGGTAGTAGATGAAAAGCCATGGATGTGCAGTTGTAATTCCAGTAGTATTCCTATGGCCAGTGACGGCCATCTTGGGTTTTCTCAAAATAATCAAATATGCACATTTATTACCTGCTAGATATGTATCACAGTGTAATAATAATGTGTAAAGCACTAAAAAATAAACTGAATTTGATAGTGAATTAGCTGGCATTATTTCCAACCCTTTGTAATACTATAAGTATTCCTATTACATATGACGGCCATCTTGGATTTTCTCAAAATGCCCAAGAATACTGTTAGTTACTCACCACATACATATTGTGTGGGTAGAAAGGATGTGGAAAAACACTCAGAAACCAGCTTAATTTGATAGTGAAAAATTAATCTTTCCAGTTGCCATTAGTTGAATCACCGTATACTAGAATTCCTGTGGCACATGGCAGCCATCTTGGATTTTCCAAAATGCCCAAGAACACTTCGTAGTTACTCACCACAAACATATAATGTGGGTAACAAAGATCTGAGAAGCAGACTTAATTTGACAGTGGACAACGTATCGTTCTAGCTGGTAATAGTTGTGCACTAGTATTCCTATGGTTGTTTCTATGGCAAATGACAGCCATCTTGGATTTTTTCAAAAAGTCCAAGGGAACTTGTTTGCTATTTGACATATATGAATAAAATGGGTAATAAGGGTGTGGAAAACTTTGAGAAAATAATTTATTTGATAAAAATCAATATAGGCATATACATATTTCTAAAGAATTCAATAAATTGGCGGCCATTTTGGATTTTTTGGCCAAACGGTAATTTTTTTCCGTGGGCTACGGCTCTAATTTGATTTAGAATGTCAAAAGGTACCCACATGCAAAATTTGGTGCTTTTATCCGCCGTGTCACGATTTTTTCCTTAAGCCACCGGACTAAGCTGAGTTAAATTACTTTACTAGGTTAAAAGGACACAAAAGAGGATTTCGCGCCAAAATTGATTTATCCTGATTTATCCCGAGGTTAACACTACTTTTCCGAGATTTACCAACATTTAATCTATCATTCCCGGCACTCGCCATCGCTCTGTAACATTTTTGGAAAATACAATAAAAAGAAAACCTCCGCTTAAGCGGAGGTTTACCAACAACCACCTCCATTTTCATAATTGAGCTCTCTAGACTTCAGGATCTCGCGAGATTCTCATATTTCGACCTAGTTAAAACCAGTTCAAGCTGCCGGGAAAGGACAACGTGAAACAGGAGGCTCAGTTATGCTAGGAGTCCTTCGAAGAAGCGAAGACAGATAACAAAAAGAAAAAAGAAACAGCCTTTACAAAAAACATGCGTAAAACAGTGTATCAGCAAATGTACGACAGGCAAACAATAAACACCGGCGAGGAAGAATTAAGGCAGATGAAAACCTGCTTGGGTGGCCATGGATACGAAGAATGGCCTGGCCGCGAAGTATTTACTGGATTTGTGAGTACCATTTACAATAATCTTTGAGATAAGACACCATTGAAAATATTTATTAAGCACAAAGATTTATGTTTATTTACGTGTGTTCGTTGTATATCTTAACGATTGTCAGGCTCGTCTGTCAAAATATGCCATGAAATTGTAACTAATATGAGTGGTATCGATGACAGAAATTGCAAGTGTTGCTCATATGTCGACTCTGACAGGGTTTGGGTTAGTTTATAGAGCAAAGAAAGTTTAAATAAAAACGGACATGGTGGGAGATACTAGTCTCATTACATATACATTACAATGACCAGGGCGAATTTTTGACTTACCGAGGGCACATTTCTTGTGCCTCTAACATCTAGGCATACCACAGTAATTAAGACATATGACAAAGATGCTATTTCTTTAGGCATCTAAATCCCAAAATGAATGTGCAGAAGCTGTTATTGTATCTAAGTTTAACCCAATGTTAAATGGCATGTCAACTATAAGTGAAAATAAATAGTAGTATTTTGATTTTATATTTTAAAGACAATTTGTCTCCTTTTTACATTAAAAATAAATAAATCAGAAAGGGGATATTGCATGTTTATGTTTGGTACATCTCTCTAATGTATTAAATAGTCCAGAGTAATAATTTAGATCATACAATTTTAACTTCCAACCAGTATTTCGGAGATTAAACCAATATGAAGTGATCAAGAAACTTCAAAATTAAGTTGTAGTTAATACTAGTGCAGTTGAAGATGACAGTCTAGATAATTTAAGGTGATCATATTGAGAAAAATGGCATTTATACTTATTTCAGTTGAGTTTTATACTTATTTCAGTTATGTTTTTACATAATTTTT